ACCAACACTCCTCAGCTGTTTAGGATGTTGAAAATGATGGACCAATAATAGCATGGAGCCCTTAAATAACAACATACCATTAGTTTTTAATATGCTATGGCTCAAAATTGAACAACAATATAAAAGGCCCAGTAGCATTGTTATAATCAAGGACCGCTATCCTACAATTGGATCCACATGGGCAGACCCTTACATCCATGTGTCCCCCTACTGGAGACTAAAAGGGTCTTCTCACACACACCTAAATAGTAATAGAGATGTAGCTGTGTTAGTCTGGTCTTGCTGAAACAAAAGACAGGACTATGCAGCACTGTAAAGACTAACAAGATGGTTTATAAGGTGATGCTTATCTTTAACATCTTTAAAGATGTTAGTATTTAAAGTGCTGCATAGTCCTGTCTTTTGTTACACCTGATTAAATGCTAACTGAACTTAGTTCATGTAACTAACTTAACTTACAAGTGCTGGGACTAAGCATAGTGAAGTCAAAACCTAACCAGCGCTGTAGGGTTCTCTTTGGGAGCACCCTCCATTATTTTCAAATATCTCAATGCGAGATTATTTTTCACAAATTATTTCAACAACAACTTGTGGGGACCCATTAAATAGTCATCAAAATCATAGTCCTGTCTTTGTATGTGTTGTACAGTGAGGCTTGCACCCAAATTATAGATATTACATAATAATTCAGCATACACAAGAATAGGATGACAATAAAAGTTGAAACTCACAGGAATTTTAAATAGTCTGGGGAAAATGATATCAATAAATAACAGCTATTAAGAAAATCAAGCTAGTACAACAGGAAACACATAGCTTCCCTTTGTGTATTCTCAGAATATACAGATCAGAATTAAGCAGTAATTAATAACAGGCTGAAGGGAGCAGAGAATGCATGCCTTCCTGTAGAGAAGAATGAATATCTTTCTGCACCTTTTGTAAAAGCTTTAGAAAGAGAAAGTGCACGATTACATTAGCCTATGAGCAGGGCTTCATATATTTTGCAACTCTATAGCCCTAGCCCCGGAATTTGCTGCAGAGTCTACCCGCCTCTTCCTACATATTTCTGCTTCAGAATCTAAGGCCTTGTCTACAATGGCATGTTTTGTCACCTGCTTTTTGTCAGGAAAAACACCCAGTTTTGGCAAGAAAATCTTCCACTCCCACAAGAGACTATTGTCTTTTTCCCTCCCTTTATTGTCGACAAAGGGCCAGTATGGACTCTGCTGTTTGTTTTATTGAGAACCGGCTTCTGCCAGTATTCCACAATGCCTGCCCTGATAGCTGTGCTCAGTGTTTTGTGATCTCTGCTGTCCTACAGGCATGTGCCCCTTCCTTTTCAAAGCTCTGGGAAGTACCTGACAGCTGTGTGAGATGTTCCATTTCAGCCATTATAGGGTATGTCTACATTGCATTCCTCTTCCAAGAGAGGAATGCAAATTCAGACGAATGAAATTGCAAATGAAGCACAGATTTGAACTTCCCGCGCTTCATTTGTATAATTGCAAACCGCTGCTATTTCGAAATACCCTATTTCAAAATAAATAACGCTGTGTAGATGCAGTTATTTTGAAAGAAACCCCTTCTTTCGAAATAACCCTTATTCCTAAAAAGATTAATTTTAACGGTTATTTTGAAAGAAGGGGTTTCTTGCAAAACAACCACGTCTACACAGCATTCTTTATTTTGAAATAGGGTATTTCGAAATAGCAGCGGTTTGCAATTATGCAAATGAATCATGGGAAATTCAAATCCGGGCTTCATTTGCAATTTTGCTCATCTGCATTTGCATTCCTCTCTCGGAAGGGGAATGCAATGTAGACATTTTAACAAATCTTTAGCTACTGAGATCTTCATTAGACCTGAGCAAACACTGGAGAAAAACCAAAACAAAAACCTGTTCCCCTTCCCAATATCTGCTCAATTTTTTTTAATGAATTTCCTTCAGCCAGCCTCCCCATCCCCACGTGCCTTATGCTTTGGTATTAATTCACTGACAAAAATATTTCAACCCAAGTGCCTGCATACCCACCCTGTCAGGAAAATGCAACACTAAACAACAAAGCTGATCTGTCTCAAACAATACAGCTTGTATGTCACATATTACAGTGAGATGGTAGAGATCCCTATCGTTACATCACTTAACTCTTTCACTACAAAAGGTTCTTTGCATCTTTTCTTTGAGAAGCTCTTATACCTCCAATATTTGCAGCAACCCATTGGTATATGTCAGATTACAGAAGTGCCTTTTCTTTCTCCTGTGAAATTCCATCCTGGCTTTGCTGAGATATTATGTTAAATATTGCTATTTCCTTAGCTCTTGCTTGCCTTTCTCAAAGCCTGAACTAGTAATCGACAGGGGACACAAGAATTGCTACTTCGACTGACCAAGGTAAACAGACATATTGTTTCTTTGTCCTTCACAGCCACCAGGGTCATTTGCTATAGACTCGTTTTCCTTGTCAGTCTTGTCATTTTTGTTCTTTTCTTTGGGAGACAGTTGAATGATTTGATAGCTGGAGAGTCTAGTTTCCATGTCCATTTGACCCAGCTATTTTCTCATAACACAATCTGCCCCTTTGGTCCCACAGACATGGCTTTGATTAAGTATTTCTATCAAATCATTCTACTTTGAGCGCTGAAAATTCAGACCTTCCAATTTTGGGTCAGTCTTCGTTTCCTTTTCATTACACTTTCTTTGACCTCCTCCTCCTCACATTATTACATTGGGACCAGACAAGCAACTACAGTACCAGTCACTTGATTGTTCCACCCTGGGGAAGTATCAGTTAGGCTTTGAGGCTGTACAATAAAAATAAACCAGAACTGCTAGCTCCTTAATTATTTTTAACTTAAAAGTTTGCACACTCAGGCTCGAGTCTTTCAAGGAAAAAAGTCACTCTCAGCGTCTGTAGCAGGTCAGTGGTACTGCCAAATCCAAGCATTCAAAAATCACGAGTCAGGTCTCAATCAAGAAACTGGCTTACGAAAAAAAAAGATTAAAAATAATGTGTATGGGTTTGTTTTGTACACTTTACTTCTGAGCTTTTAGAGTGGATTTGGGTCACCTTTTATGCTTTTCTCTTCAACCACGAGGGCTAAAAATGAAAGCTAGGATTCTTACCTGATCACGTGACTTCAGGAGACATAAAAGAAAAAACCTAAAATATCATCAGACGCACAACAGAACTGAGAGAGCTGGCCGTCTCTTTTGTTCAGCTATGTCTTAATCTTCACCATCTTCAATGACCACAATTCACCACTGGCTGAGGAACTGGAGAAGAAAACTGAGTGGGGATAGCGGAAGAACAGAGGTACTGCCCTTCACAACTCATCTTTTTCAACAAAATGACCATTGTCCCATAATCAGTCACCATATGACTTAGTGGAGTAGTTTCACAAGGCCCCACGCAGTCAGGAGTGGGCAATACACCGGAGGCAGTTCACCAAAGTTAGCCTCTGATGGGCCACCAGAACTTTATTTACCTACATGTCCACAGGTAAGGCCACTTGCAGCTCCCACAGACTGCTGTTCAGCCAACGGAAGCTGCAGAAGTGGCATGGGTCAGGATGCTGCTCCCCACAGCTCCCATTGGTCAAGAACAGCGATTCACACCAACAGGGCTGTAAGGAGCCACACCTGTGGACACACAGGTGAATAAAATGCCGGTAGCCCACCAGTGGCTAACCCTGGCAAACCGTGTGTGTGTGTGTGTGTGTGTGTGTGTGTGTGTGTGTGTGTGTGTGTGTGTGTGCGCGCGCGTGCGTGTTTGTTTCTGCAGTTAGACATATATTACTAGAGGCCATTCCAGAGATATTTCCTCTTGGAATTCAGAATTAACAATTGTACAATGCCTCCTTCCAAATAGCAAATCCTTGTCTAGAATGTTAAGTAAATACACAGCCATTAATGTCATTGTTTGGGTATGTTTAATCAGGAAAGCAGTACTCATCAGGAAATTATGAGACCACTGATGCTTCCACTGTCCCATTATACTGTGCATTTCTAATAATCCCTTTTCCTGAATGAAGGTAACTCCATCTCTGTGAGTGAAATGTCCTCCAGGTCAGTCTAGAATGACCAATACATTCAACAGGCTAACAGAGGCTGTGCCAGCCTCTCGTGCAAACATTTATGTCCTTGATATACCCATGAGACAGGGCAGAGCCAGAGCCAAGCTGTGGATCCAATACATAAAATAGCCATGAATATTTTATAGAAATTCTAGGAAAACATTTCATAAACAGCACACTACAGATCACCTGACTTTATCCAACTGCTGCATAGCCTAGACCAGAATAGATTATTTCTCCTTTCTCTAGCATGACTATACACTACTATTAGCACCACTTTGACAGAATTATTAGAATTATCAACTGGCAAAAATTGTACAGATGTTGTCTCGCACAGGAAAGATACTGCAAGGGGTATGGATTTTTTCTCATATAATCTCTGAATCGAGTGCTGATTTACTCTGTTTTACTCTGTGGACCTGGGGTAGGAGACTAACTCCAAGATGCAGTGTAGCCATATCTTACTTTTACTGGATCTTCTTCCAACAAATACTAATTCATATACCAGATCTCTTCAGGTAAGCAGGCAGAAAGCTTAAAAAATGATGGTGGTGAATCGCAGTCAGATTTCAATGCAAAAGATTGTGCTTTTAATAAATCACAGAACAACGTACCAAAATCCTAAATCTGAGCGAATACTGAATTGCAGATACCTCCACATGTTCTGTCAATAACATTTTTTCTAATCCTCTAGAACAGAAGCCATGTCACAATGAGAAAGCTCTTGCACACACTCAAGACAACATGAAAGGGAGTTTACCTTTGTTTGAACCACAGCCTGTCAAGTTTCCACTGCTGGGTAATGCATTATTTAATTATAGCAGCTGTCTGCTCTCAGTAAGATGGTTGTGTCTCTTGCTAGACATTCTGAGGCTTAGAAAACCTGTAGCAATTTAAGGAGATGTAAAGCTGAGGGGTTAGCTTACCTGTTTGCGGTCAGATAATGACTTCTCATTGGCCAAGGTACTGAAAGTTGTGATCTGAAAAAAAAAAAAAGTGTGAAAAATCCGTGTTAACCCAGACTAAATAATTAAGTGGCATATTCACTGCATGGCAAACAGAGATTTCCCCTCTACCAGTGCTGATGGCCAGTGCTTAGAGTCTAGACCAGTGGCTCTCAATATTTCCAGATGACTGTACACCTTTCAGGAGTTTGATTTGTCTTGCGTACCTACAAGTTACACCTCACTTAAAAACGGCATGCTCACAAAATCAGACATAAAAATACAAAAAAGTGTCCTAGCACACTGTTACTGACCAGTTGCTTACTTTCTCATTTTTTACTATGTCATTATAAAATAAAGCAATTGGTATATAAGTATTGTACTTACATTTCAGTGTATAGTACACAGAGTAAATAAATCACTCTCTGTATGAAATTTTAGATTGCACTGACTTTGCTAGTGCCTTTTATGTAGCCTGTTGTAAAACTAGGCAAATATCTAGATGAGTTGAGTATCCTCTGGAAGACCTTTGCGTACCCCCAGAGGTACGTGCACCCTGGCTGAGAACCACTGTTCTAGTTGTCCCAATGCTCATTAAGAGCCAGATGCTTTCCCCATTAACTAACACAGAATAGCATCTTTCACTGCAAATACTCTTGATTTCAATAAGGCTTGTCTTGGGTCAGGTACTGTCCAACCTGAGCAAGGGTGGCAGAATCATGCCCGAAAAATTATAGTGCTCATTGGAATTTAATAGCAAACTACCAACAGCAATGAACAGTCATAGGGACCCTGGCTCAGGAGCAATATTGTTAATTTCATGTTTTGCCTCCACATAGAGATGACTTCTTATTAAAGACGGCTGACTGTGCATTTAATCATGTACATATTCATTCATAATTCCAACTCATGACTCCAACATCCAGAACCTTCATCACGGGAAGGATTCCAGTGACAGCTTGCCCCATTCATGGGGGACTCTGGATTCAATCCCAGACGGGATTAATTTAACCTTCAAAGCACAAGGGCCACACCATGGCAAGGGGGCATGGGACTGAACCCGGCTGACCTTCTCTCTCATAGCAGGCCTATCTCTAATCAGATGTACCCTTGTCATGTGATCTCCATGCTCTGAGATGTAAAGCAGTCACAGGTCAGTGGCTGACTCCAGACTCCCTGAAATGGGACAGTGATCTTCTGATAGGGACGCATGTTAAATAGCCCACTTAGTAAAAGTCCATAAAGAGTAGAACGCATAGAGGCCTTAAAATGGAATGCTCCCTGTACTCAAAAATATCACTTTCTCTCCTCCATCCAAAGCATCAGACTCCCAAATTTCTCTGCCAGCTCACATGGCACCACAAGTATCAAGCAAAGGTACCTTCAGCTTTCCATTCCCTTCGTGTATGTCACTCAGTCTGGTAGAGAACACAGGAATACTCACATTTTATTAAGGCAATTTTATTAAAACACAGTGCTGACTATATTTTTAAATAGCCGACGATGTGCATGTGTGACATTTAGCAGACTCTCTAAAGGTTTAGGACAACCTAATCTTGTGTGAAAGCACAATTTGCCTTTAAGTGCTGAGATCTAGATTAAGATTTTTCCCCAGGATTTTTTTCTTCCGCTATCTAGTGTATGCAGACCCAAAATGCTGTTCGAGGCAGAAGTGTAGTGGGAAACATACTCTGTAGATCATTTTTGCTGACCTATACATGAAGCAGGTTTTGATGGACACAAGAAAAACAGCTGATGGGAAGCCCAAGCTGCTTATTGCTAGCATGCGGAGACACTTAAAAAGTCTTATTCAGTATTTCACTAATCACTTATTATTTGTTTAATATTAACATCTAAAGGAATCAATCAACAATTGTGCCCCATTGGCACTAAACAAACATATCATAAAAAACAACCCCTTCCTTCAAGGGAAACATTTTCTAGAGAAGACAGGCAAAAAGCAGGAGAAAATTATCAAACATACAAACAGAAGGTGGGGAATTGAGGCACAGAACAATTAAGTGATTTGCTCAAGGTCACACAGGCAGTCTGTGATTGAGCTGGGAACTGAATGCAGATCTACTGATTCCCAATCCACCATCTTAATTACCCTTCCTCTAACTGTAGTCCCTAACACTAATGTAATAAATTAATGAGCATTGCTAGGGAACCAGAACATTTTCCAACCCCCAGAGAATTAGCTTTTTTTGACGGCAAACACCCTCCTGCAATTCCCAGACAACACACATTAAAAAGGCAGTTAGGTGGAAACCAGAAATCAGTAACTGCCTGGAGATGCAAACTGCAGTACCGGTGCACACAAATCATTTTACATGCAGAACTGTAGAAGTTTTAGAGTCACATTTAAGCCCATTTTTTAGTCTCACGGTGACTAGACCTTGACTCTGCACAGGGATTTTCACTCTGAGGTTAGTCTGCAAGCAAGCTATAAAGGTTAAGGAATTCTGAATTTAAAAACCAATCCCTGAAATAAGTGTTATTGATGGATGTTCAGTTTAGAGAACAGAAATAGAACTAGTGTGTTATATCCAACTCCTTAGACCAGGGGTGGGGAAACCTTTTTTGGGTCAGGGACTACTGGCCCACAGAAAAATCAGTCCAGTGCTGCACACAAGTGAGAACAAAAAAAACAAACAAACAAAAAAAACCCCCAAAACCATCCCTTACCAATATGGGCTTCCCTAGGCCTTAGCTTCCCCACCCCTGCCTTAGACTGAAGATGGGCCAAAACGTTTTAATGAATGATAAATCTCCATGAAAGTCAAGGAGGGTTTAAAGTCTAATTAACTTTCCCATGTCTTTTCTCTATGCCTGCAATGCTTCTTCACGTTATACCAATGCTAACAATTTCTTGGGCATTTGAGCATGATGGGACATGATTCATGGGCCTATTAAGGAGCATAACATTATCTTGTGAAATAACTTGTATTGCTAGGGCCTAGCAGCTCTACAAAGCAAGAGAGGTCTAATGTGTCGCAGAGACTGGATTTTGTCTTGACTCTAGCCAGCCGGGCCTTCCACAAAATGCACTAGAAACTTTTTGCAAGCATTTAAATAATCATCTTTATTCCTGCTTATACCAGGTCACATTTCCTTCCAGGCCAACTGGGAACAATCATCCTTCTAGACTAATATGCTCGAAAACAGTCTAAAATCATACTCTATGTATAAATGATAAAATGATAATGCTTTCTTGGGGTTTGTGAATACTTGAAATTCAATTAGTCAAGTGAAAAGCATGTAAATGTGCCAGCAGGATTTATTTTCCAAACTAATAACCATCTTCTGCATCCTATTTAGTTAATGAAAATTTGGAGCACTCAGGTAATTAAAAAGAAAACTCGTGACAAAATGCAAACCATAGAAAAATCAAATCTTCTTATATCTTCACTGAATACTAAACATATCCCTTGGTTCACCTAATCAAGACATAATATTTGCTCAGTTGTGATGAGCTAAATTTTATGAGTTCAAGAGACAGGTTAACCTAGGGATAAACAATAGGTGGACCCTAGGCCAAGTCCAAACCACCGGGCACTTCTGAACGTACCCCAAAATCTTTTCATTTGATTATTATCTGATATTTTTATCCGTACCCCAAAATCTTTTCATTTGATTATCTGATATTTTTATCATTATTTTTCTGGAATTTGGACTTTCAGTATACCTTAACCAAGAAATCTGGACCTGGCCAAAAAAGATGACTACCTCTAAGTTAGCCTTTCAAACAGAAATCACGTGAAAATCAAGATCTTTTCTGCATAGTTTTTTAGCTGTTTGTACAAAAATTTGCTTTCAGGGCTACATCCAACTCCTGTGCTGTCAGCTGCATGTATCTCCCATCTTTAATGTTTCATACTTGGTGACTGATTGGAGAATTGATAACTGGTAATGGCACCAGTAACTAAACTGATTACTTGAGACAATCACATTTCAGAATAATAGAATACTTGTAGCCTCTGTTAGTAGCACCGCTATAAACATTATAGCTAGCACCCCCATAGTTCAGGATGAGTAATAGAAACTGCTGACCAAATGTTTGCTGGAAGAGAAGGTCAAGAAAGATTCTAAGATACTTAAACTAGCCCATCAGCTGCTAACAATCACTGATGAGGCAGATAATTTTCGTCATCTGGGAAGCGAACCAATCATCTTACCTGATTGTGAGCAGGGCCAAACACCTACAAATTCAACTCAGCACTTTTGAAAATCAACCCATTTTATTCAGCAGCCTCGTTTTAGGCAACCAACCTTGAGAGTTTTGGCCTCAGTCTTCAGAGGAGTTCCTCCATACCGATCACACTTCACTACGCCTCGTTTAGTGGCCAGAAAAACAGCCATTTATTAACATATTCCTTTGTACACATTTTTATGAGTCATTTAGCCAGTGAAAATCTAGTTTGTTCAGTCGGACCACTTACAGGAGCGAGGACTCTGACATGGGAGCCATATAAGTCCACACAAAACTCAGTTCTGTTCCACATTCCCCTTTATGTGTGAAGACAGATGGTCCTCTGCTGAAGGCATTAGAAGGGTGGGGGATGACTCAGCAGATCTGCAGTCCATTCCTAGCTCTGCTGTAGACCTCCTGTGTGACCTTGGGAAGTCACTGGATCTCTCTCAGTTCCCCCTCTGTAAAATGGGAATACTATTTCCATTCTCTCTCACTCCCCCTTTGTCTGTCTTGTCTATTTCAGCCATAAGCTCTTTGGGGCAGGGACCATCTCACACCGTCTTTGTACAATGCCTTGCCCAATGGGGTTGACTGGGCACAAAGGAGAGCGAGGATTACAATGTCTTTGCCATCGACAGCTTTGTGTGAATTGCAATTGTGTTGGACATCTCTTTCAATTCACACTACCTCACTTTCCCCAAGGTACTTTCAGCAAGGCATTCCCCCATCTTTTCCTTTCATTAGTTAATTCTCTCTGACCAGTATGTACCTGAATCTATTCATCGCAAACAAAGACTACATTAATACATAATACAGACTGATGCGATGAACGCAAGGGGAA